TAGTAGGTATTAAAATATAAGGCGTGAGAGCCAAATTTTAGTGAGGTCCGGCCTCACTCAAAGAAATCTTGTCAGAAGTGTCAAAACAATGTAATTTTCGTCAAAGAAAATCACTTCAGTTTTCATTGGTGCACACTGTACCTTTCTTTGCGGGGCAGCGTATGTCGACTTGAATCCAAGTAAATCTAGCGAGGAAGCAAAGCCTGGTATATATGGTAAGTAAGGCGATAATTCGAGCTGTGCCCATGGACTGTGCTTTTACTATCCTTTGTTGCACAATCAAGTTTAACCAGGATATAAAATTTGTGGCAATACAAACGCCCCTCGGAACGATTTGCATTTCGTCCTTAACAAATTTCAGGGCGTACGACCTATAACTCTTAAAGAAATTACCACTGTTGGCGCTTTAACGAATGAAATACGTATAAACTTTACAATATGGGGCTTAAATAGTACGTTACTTTACAAATAACATAATGAATTACATTCTCAATAAGCTCCAAGACTTATTTTATGGCACGCCAAGACATATTCCGGTGTTTTTTATAACTATGCCGCATATTTGTAGCAGGAGTTATGTCCTTTTGTTTTCCGAGAACCCATTACAAAAACAGAACGCATATTTATAACCTAACAATATGCTGCGCGGCGTTTTTATGATATAGATGGAAATATTGATTGTTCAAGGCGAACAAAATATAAATACGATGTTAAATTTTTCTATTCGAGCACTAAAGCGCCCGTTTTACAGCAAAAATTAAACAAAACTGTTGCTATTTTAGCGTCTTAGCATAATCCATAAATGGATCAAAATGAATAACAAAGGCGATGAAGATAAAGACGAGACGCTTTTCGAAAGACAGGTAAAAATATTTCCGATTTATCCGGTGCGAGTAATTTTAACAAATCTTGCGTTTGCACTGTAATACGAAGGACGTTATTTGCGTAGTTTAAGTCCCCTGTCAAAAACAGCCCACACAAATGTGACTTTATGTTGCTGTTTCTTGGTTTTTCATAGATGCATAAAGGTATAATACGCTAGAAATACTATTATGGTGTGTATACTGCAAATCCTTTTGTAATAAATGCAATTCCGTAATAGTCGACTTTTGAAATATGTTCTTACAGGGTGGTCCTGTTTGATGTCACTTTGCTAAAGTGCATCTATTAAAAAAGTAGACATGAGTTGCACATGTTGCTGGTTAATTAATTAATTAAATCTATCGGAGTGCACAGGGTTTGGTTATGTTCTGAATTTATATTTTTAACTAATTATAAGTCAAAAATGTATATCGCCCAATCAGGAGTACCACAAGGATCGAATTTGGGACCTGTTTTATTTTTAACATGTCTTAATGATATAATTTCCCAAGAAAAGTGATTATATGTAATTATAAAATATTCTCATACACGAAAAAGGAGGCAGTTTTAAATTATACCAAATTAATAACATTGCTACTGAATCTTATAGATATTTAGAATATTGTTTGATTCTAAACTTGCTTTTACGAGCCATATTAGCAATGTAGTAGGTTCGACTTCCAAAACTTTAGGATTTTTTTTTGTTAGAAATATGAGCGATTTTTCGAAAATTAAAATATCTGGTACTCTGTATATCAAAATTCTATTGGTCAAATAGAGTCGGTGCAAAGGAAGTACCTAAAGTTTATTTCTTAAAAAAATAATAATAAAATATCAACAAGCCTGCTCTATTGGACAAATGGATTTTTTTTTGTTAGAAACACGGCAAAATGTTGTCTTTTATTGTGACTTTGCAAATACAAATATTAAATTGCCTATTTTTAATACACGCACCATTTTCAATTCCATATATCTTTTTTATGACCTCCATTTTGATAGTTCAGTAAAAAATAATTCGGGAGTACGAAGTTAAATTGAATGTCAATTTTTTAGTTGTTTAATATACAGGGTGTATCTAAATAACATCGAAAAAATGCAAGGGGTAATTCCCTGATGAAAATTAATAGGAGTCTTTGGTATGAATTTTTTTGAAAAAACTGAAGTTACGCCTCTCCAAAAATTAAAAAAAAATGTTTTTCTTTTTTATCTTCCACGTATATAATATCAAGTTAAAGGAACCGAATTTGGTGAATATTATCGGTCAAAAAACTACACATTTTGAAATTTTTTCAACCCTGAAGTATTTTTGTAAGGGGTTGAAATAATCAACCCGACATTTCTTCTTATAATTTTTTTTCGATAAAATTTTTTCCTTTTAAAAAATATGTATAAAAAACCCCATTCATTTACTAACGTTGTGATCTCTTTCAGATCAGTTTTTTCGAAAAGTTAAGGATTTATGAGAAAAAATAAATAAATGTATTGCAATGCATTTTTAAAAAGATGAGTGTCGAATGCGGTTAATTCCAAGAAAGTGACGCAGGGGTCTTCTTGGAATTCTATCACAACAAATATCGTACGGACTGTATCTATAATTTGTTTAGCTGTAATTCCTGTAATTTGATGTAACCTGTATTAGAAAAGTTATTATTATTACTATAAAAGATATGAAATGTTTGTCTAGAGCTGTAATGTACGAATATACCTATGTGTATACAAATAAATCGGTAAACTATTACATTATAAAATAATTACATACTGTAAGAGAAAAGCTTTAGTTGGTAATTATTTGTGTTAATTAATAGTTTCCTTATTTAATTATTATTGTTACTCAATAGTTACAGATATAAGCTGCAGTAAATCAAACAAGCACAATACCTATACATTTTACTTAATCGATGTTATTTAAAAAAATTAACAAGTTTTATGATTTGACGGAAATCTATTACCACTGCTATATTTTTGTAAGCAACAAATCATCGTATTCAAAATATTTCGTCATAAAGAACATTAACCTTCGTTATCAATGACTCATAATGCGGTTGTACATAATTTAAAGGTTACTTTAACGTACATTTATTTATTAAATTAATTTGGTACATAATAATTAGAGAAGTTAAAATGTATGTCAGAAGAGCAACAATTTTCCTTCCGGTAAAATTTCAGCGAGTGCGATAATTGTTATTATCTGCATTTAGCAACAGTTTCATAATTTTCTACATTTGCATTCTTGTCTGACCCTATAACAATACCCTATTACTGCAACACTTATTACTTTCAATTTTACATGTTTATAATGGGCTTAAGAGGGCTATGTATCCACTACTTTCATTAGCGTTTGTTACACTCGATAATAAGCCTCAGATATAAATACTGTGTTGATAATTAAGAAAAATATACATATTATCGTATTGCAATTTATGTAATTATTAATATCTATACTATTATTTTTTTTATTTGTTAAATTCAAAGACTGAAGTGCATCTTTTAATTCCAACACCGAGATATTAAACTGCACTTTTGTATACAGTACTTTTCTGTACTCAATTTTTTGCAACCGGTGGGTTAAAAGGGGGGTGTAAAGTGTCTGTTGGTGATTAAAAGTGACATTATCAAGTGTAAAGTGCTTGTTGGAATTAAAAGTGACACTTTTAAAAGTAAAGTGTATGTAGAGAATTAAAATCAGTGCTTTTAAATGCAAAATATCTGTTGGAAATTAAAAGTACACTTTTAAATATAAATTGTGTAATGGGGTTAAAAATGATACTTTTAAGTGTATTGTTAAAAATTAAAAGTGAAGCTATTAAGAATAAAGAGTCGATTAAAAATTACATCATTAAATATACGGTGTCAGCTGAGGGGATTAATTGTACTATATCTGCTGATAATTATAAATGGCGGTGTTGAGTGTAAAGTGTTTGTAGGTGATTCAAAGTGGCATTTTCAAGTGTCTGTTGGGGAATAAAAGTGACACTCTTATGTGCAAAGCTGGAAATTAAATGTAAAACTATTAAGCGTAAAGTCTATTGGATATTAAATGTTACACTACAAAATATAAAGTGTCTATGGAAATTAAAAGCAACAATTTTTAAGTGGCACTTCTAATTGAAAAATGTCCATTTAGGATTAAAAGCTACACTTTTAACTGTAAAATGTTTTTAAGGGTTGGAAAGTGCTCCTTTCAAGTGTGTCGAGGAATAATAGTAACACTATTAAGTGTTAGAGTTATAAGTGACTCTTTTAAAACCACCACTTTTAATTGTAACGTATATGTCGGGAATTAAAAGTGACATATTTAAGTGTAAAGTGTATGTTGGCGACAAAAAGTGGAACTATTAAGTGTACGGTCCGTAGGAGATTAAAAGTGACACTATTAGGTGCAAAGTATCTTTTGAGAATTAATAGCGATACTTTTAAGTTTAAAGTGTCTGTTATGAATTAAAAGAGATACATTTTAGTGTAAAGTGTGGTTTACGAATTAAAAAAGACATTGTGAAGTGTTTGTTGGGGGTTAAAAGTGATGTTTTAAGTGTAAAATGTTTGGAGATTGAAATTGGCACTTTTACTTCGTGTGATGAAGCAACCCTTTTAGTCACTATTTTAATTCTTAATTTATTCAGGGATAAAATTTACTCTAATAAAAACTGACGAATATGTACTAATGTAAAAATTCAAATGACAAATTTCACCCTTAGGATTAAAAGATGCACTTTAGTTCTCTAGTATTGACTATTTAGCTCTTCAGTTAAGAAAGACATTATACATAATTTATTAACGCAAAAAATTATTAAAGATGCACTTTAGTCCTTTGGGATGGGGTATACTACTTTGTCAAATGATTTAAACAATGTTGAAAATGGCAGACATAGATGCTAAACATATAATAAACTTTTACAGTTGTGTAAAATTACTGTACTAAAAGAGACTAAAGTGCATTTTTTAATCTAATCTGTAGCTTGAAACAATACTATTAATTAAAACTATTTATATACTGATATGACACTTAGTAACTATTTGAATTTCGTTTTGCAATTTATTACAGGGATTAAAACTTACGCGCTCGGTCTGACGCTGGACCGTGGGCCTCTTAATGCAATTAGTCTTACTCTTGCCTTCAACAAATATCGGCGATAGGAGTGGTGGCCACTTTCACTCTTAATAGTTCACTTCGGCTGTGCCTTAGACCACTTGGAGTTTCACCTTGGCTGTTAGTTTTTAGTTTGATCAAAATGCGGGTGCGTGGGTTAGTGTTTTCAATTTTCCTGCTCCTCCAAGTGGCTATTTTCTTGGATCAACCTGGTACCGCCGTAGCCCAGCAGCCAATCATCGAGCTACCAGTGGAACTGATAGGTTTTCCAGTCATAATAATCGCTGTGAGGCTGTCGAATTTTGTTAAGAAGTTGGCCTACTCCCTCAACCCAAGTAAGTGCTTGGTTAATTATTTTGTAATCAAAATATTGGGAACATAGTAAAAACCGCGCAAAGAGGTTAGGGAATTGTTTAACTGTAACCTTGTGCGGAACCTTTCCAATATGGGCAGAGCTCGACCCTGATCTATTTTTCTACTTCAATTAAAAAAAAGAACCGGTTATTTTCATTTCGATTTGTTTATTTCTAAGAAAATTAAGAAAAAAGTAGTATTCCATCTTCGATTCTATTTTTGGATCTGCGTACCCAAAAAAATATTTAAATAAAAATAAAATTGAAATATATAATTTTGACAGTTCAATTTGACATCTGCGCGACAGCTGTCAGCATTGTCACTACAACAAATAGAAACATGATTAATTTATATTTCGCAATAGTGTGTGAGATATGTATGCACTAGTGTAAAGTATTTGCGCACTAGTGTATAAAATATTTAAGCACTAGTGCTATTTTAAGCATTAAGTAGAAAACAATATTTAATGGATTTTTATTAAACAAGAGTATGTGTTTTCCTTAATGTCTAGAGAGCATCTATTATTATTATTATTACTACTACTACTACTACTACTACTACTACNATTATCATTATTATCATTATTATCATTATTATCATTATTATCATTATTATCATTATTATCAATATTATCATTATTATCATTATTATCATTATTATCATTATTATGGACATCTCCAGAATCATATATTTCACAAATACTTGACACCTCTCACTATTTTATTGATGATGCTTTTATGATGCTTATGATTAATTTTCACAAAAAATATATTGGGTGTTATCAAAGTTGAGTCATTTATTTTAACAGTTGGTAGAACTCGTAAAAAAGTCGATTTACCAAAAATCGTTTATGTAAAAGCTGCCAAATAAAGCAATTATTAACAATTAAAAAAAAAATTTAAATTTAAAAACTTTATAATACAAACCTGATTTATTGTCATTGCGTTGTAAAAACATAAATGGTAAAAAAATGGTAACAATTTTGAACGATTTTTGTAGAACAGAATTTTTACAACTCTCTTCTTCTGCAACGTTTATATAAAAGATTTTTGGTAAATCGACTTCTTTTACGAGTTCTACCAGCTATTATTATAAATGACTCAATTTTGAGAACACCCTGTATGAACAATGTCCTGAAACTGTCGAGAGACAATTTAGGACCACTATTGATTTACTTGTAACTTAATCTTACTGTTATTACCATTTCAACTTCAATTAATGTGCTTTCTCCTTAATTTTGACAGTTTAAAACTGAATTAAAACCGCAAGAAAGTAACAGTAATATGAAAGTGTAGTGTTGGAAGATGTATTTTTGGGAAAGACATATGCCACACATAACATGAATATTAAACGATCTTTTTAAACTCAGCCTTGAACAACTGTGAAAGTGAGATTGATAATTTAAGAACAGTATTTGTTTTAAGCATAATGATAATTAATCGAAAGTTTGGCTATTTTTGTCACACAGATCTATTTTATTATAGAGAAAAAGTAGGCTGTATGTCAATAATATATTAATATATTCATTTGTTTATACGAGACAAATTGGTATAAAAATACCAAGAAACAAATTATTCCAATTTGCTGTGTATATTTAGCGCGTTTTCTTGTTTAGAGACCTATGCCAGCAACAGGACACGTAGATCCATTTCCTCGGAAGAAATGATCAACATGATCGAAGCTGAAAAGAGATTGGTCACGGAATTAGGTGAAAATGTCTGCATTTACCCCAAGGTGTGTTTGTATCACGCACAGAAAGCCAAGAAAACGGACGGTGACAAGGAATTGGCCATCGATTGGGATGAAGTTTTCAGGTAAATAACGAAGTTATTATCCTTTTATTTGATTCCTCTCGGATTTCTTTCCGTGTTGTGTCTATTGACGTTGGTGAAAGGAATAGTAGAGGTCGAATTTCAATCACAAAAATCTCAGTTTTATATAGAATTTCCTATTTTCATCGTGATTTTTTCATTTTAAACTTCATTTTTAAAACCTAAAGTGTTCATTTTAATTATAAAAAAATTAATTCTTTATTTTACACAACGGTCAAAATTTTTTATATAAGTGCTTTTTGCACTTTTGTAAATTTTAGGTACCGTTTCGAACTTTAGTTTGATAAAGTACCATTTTTAATTCTCAAGAAATGTACATTAATTATGGTTATTTCAAATTATTCCTTGCATAAAACAGCACTGATTAAATTATACACTTTAGTTCTTATTTAGCTTTTGAATTGAAACATTGACTTAACACTAAAGGACTTGTGAACTAAAAAACGGTAAATCAGGACTAAAGTGTAATCGGGTTAACAAATGCCCTTTATTATAAACTATTTACTCTTTCAAGTCTTCACACTCCAGATTAACACTTTAGTATTTTCATATTCACTATCTAGTCCTTCAGTTCCCCACTCTTGGGGTTAAAATATGCGTTTAGTATATACTTCAGGACTAAAATGCGGGAAAATGCACCTTCGGGATTAAAACATGCACTTTAGTCCTTATTACAGACTTCAGCCTATGGATAAAAAATACACTTTAGTCCTTTTAAATTTAGTTCTTTAGTTGAAACTTTACTCTCGGATTACAAGATGCACTTTAGTCCTTTAGGGCGTAATTAAATCGTTCAATTGAGAATTCGTTCTTGGAACTAAAATATGCAATTAGAATGTACCAAAATAGCAAAATTCACCATCGGGATCAAAAGATGCACTTTAGTCCTTTATTAGATTATTTAGTTCTTCAGTTCTGTATTAAAAATGCACTTTAGTCTCATAGTATATACTCTTTGGTCCTTCAGTTGAAACTTTATCCTTGCGATTTAAATATGCATTTAGTGCATACATAAATACGTACCTCAGAACTAAAGTGCAATAAAGTTCATCTTTGAAATTATAAGTACACTCTAGGCGTTTAGTACGTTCTATTTAGTTATTTTAGTTTTAGTTATTTGGTATACTGTTTAGTCATTTGGTTGAAATACCCGTGAAATTAAAAATGCATTTGGTCTGTCATATACTATTAACAAATCAATAAGTGTTAATTAAAAATGCACAGAATGAAATTATTGCATTCGAGGACGTTTATTTGTGAATAAAATCCATCGGTTTGTGTTTTATAAAATTCGGTTTTCAATACAAATAATATGTCACATTTAGAGAAACTTATGCAGGGTTACAACTTTTAATTGTCCCATACAGGTATCTTTCCTATTTTAAGAGATACAGAAATGGTTAAATGAGCAAAAAATGCGTAGAATTGTATGCCAATCACGAATTAGTTTCTAAATTTAGAAAATTCTGAATAGTTTCGAAGATATTCGAAGGAAACCGATTTTATGTTAATCTCTTTTTTAGTTGTATTTCACTTGTGTTTCAAAATTTTAGGGCAAATGCAAAACCATTTCTGTATCTTTTAAAATAAGAATGATACGTGTTTTGGATAATTAAACAGTTACCCTGTATACCTGTGTGTGCACTGCTTTTTAGCACACCTTGTACATTCAGATATAAACGGCAATTATCGTTTACGTATTATATTTTTTGTACCTCAATTACGAAAACCTAGGCATACGCCTTACTTAATTCATGTCATCATTTCTGTTAAAATTTACAATCTAGAAAACCCGTCAGGAATGTAATATTTAGTAAAAGTGAACACCAGATCACTTAAAATGTAATAGTTTTAATTACTTAATGACGTTAATCGTGTGCTTGCAAGTAATTTCAGTCAATCAGTATCGATGTAATCTGCAACTTTACGTTATGTTATGTTACGCCAATGCTAACTACTTTCATCACGAAAATTATTTAATCATCTTGTTTTAATTGTAATTCATACATAATTTAACGATTTTTTATTGCTGCGTCTTGTTTCAGCAACTACAAATCTTCTGATGAAAAACAGAAGGAGTTTTACCTACTCAGCGTCTTTTTGGGCGACTTCATCTCGTCACCACGTTTCTGCAGACAACTAGCCAAGAGGAGAGCATGCGTAGATTAAGTATTCCGTCAAGTTGTTCTCGAGTCGCTTTAGAAATTTACGTATGTTTTGAAATTATTTATTTTGAGGCAGTGTAATTTGCAGAACTGCGAGCACGGGGCATATTTTATTACGATCGTTTAAAATTCAGCGAACGTGTCTCAAAACACGTATCAGAGACTTTTATTGTTATTTTACCTAGTAATTTGTTGGTATTGCTCAAATTTATTATTTAATATTAGTCGTAGGTAAAGGTGTAAATGTCAATATTAGCTGGCTTTCTTGTCATTAAGGACTGGCCTCCTTATAAAATGTGGGAAGTTAGGTAAGACTATCGCCATCTTTGTTCAAGGCCACTAGAGTAATACTACAGCTAATTGTAAGTCATGGTTTGTTTGTACATAAAAGAAATAAATATTTTTTTTACTTTTATATTTTTTATTTTTTACGTTTTAGCACTGTCCCTATTTACGCTTAATAAAAAGTTAGTTCACAGTAACCCACAAAGAAAAATTACGGTTATGGTTGGCAGAAGTTTTTGCAATATTTCACCGACAAAACTGCACATGTAATTTTCTCACCAAAAACAAGGAATAGTAGAAATAAAGTTTTATTATTGTATAATAATAATTGTCTGTATACATCAAATATCCTACAACTATTGCTTCAATAAATTACCAAACAAAGCTATTTACACATTATGAGTTATATGTTTCCTCGGTTATCACGGTGGAAAACTGAAACCTCTCCCATACTCATTACGTCGGTCATCGTGATTGACTCCATTGAAAATTATCCTCACGTCTTCATCCACATAAGAAACCGGCCTTTGGTAATCTAGGAGCTCCTCAGGATCCAGTCTCAGATCCCCTGTGCCAGTCCTCACTGGAAAAATCATGGGAGTAACCTTGTGATTTGGTAAAGGCTTCTGAAAGTCCAGATTGTAGTCGGAGTTATGGTAAAGTAATTCTTTCGGTCTTCTCGTAAAATGTTCATAGTTTTCCTCACTTGGAAACTTCAAACCACTGTGTGAGTGGAACGAGAAATCGCTTACGTCTTGATTTAGTTCATTGTTGTATATAAAATCGTTGCTAGGGAATTTAAGAGCCTTCTCCGATCTAAAGCCGTGATGGTCCTGAAAATGTGATACATCTTCCTTAGGAAATGTTATACCGTTTTGGTACCTTATATGATTTGGTATATAGTCCACAGCGTTGTTCTGAATCCTTTGCTCTGCAATTGCTTTGTTCCTGTAAGGAATCTGATGGTAATTCTGAGGAAAATTTTGAGCGGGATTAGCATTGAAAAAGCGAAAGAAGCCTCCGTTATGGTTATTTAAATATTTCACGACTCTGTCAGGATCTGAAGGGCACTCTGGGTAAGCATAATTACAGGTCCCTGTGTTACCCTTTGATGTAAAACCTAGCAAGGCAGCTTTTCCAAAATATAGCAGTGGTGAGGATTGAACACCGTTTAAAGTAGAGAGGAAACTAGAACAATAATTTAGAGATCAATTGGTATGACATTTGAGACAAAATAATTGTTCACCTCAGCAGAGATTCCATGTTGACGTTTATTGGTAAGTTCAAGCCTTGCTGTCGCCCCGATAATGTACCTATTGAGATAAGTTTTCATTATTTGCATTACAATAATGTTAACTTCATTACCTGAAGTAGCTTCACAAATTAGTTTAGGCACACATTGGAGATCATCATTTCTAGCTATAGAATACAGGACTTCCATTATCGATTCTTTAGGCTTTTGGAGGTGCTGGAATATGTTTGGATAAGGATTTGATCCTGATGGGTACCCGTAGGAAGATGCAGGTTTGTAAGAAAAATGCCCTTGACTGTGCAGTTTGTATGGGTAAGGATAATTACCATACGAAGCAATGTAGTTTGAACCTGGATATTGACCGTATGTTTTTGTAGGATAATTTTGGTAATACGCAGGATATTTCCCAGGATATTTATAGGAATAAGGATAAGGATACTGACTATGAGCCTGCCTGCTTTGCAAAGCAAAATTGGACAGATTCCTGCAAAATAAAAGAAATAGTTTTATACAGAATATTGAAGAATGACAACACTTACCATAGGAACTCAGCCGTTTCGTTTAGTGGATTGACGCTGACACTTAAAGCACCACAAAACATAAACGAATACACTAAGTAATATTTTTTTACTGGAAACATCGCTGAAACATGAAAATTATCTGTACTTCGTAAGAGTTTGTCGACTAGTGATCTCAAGACACTTCGAAAAGTTTAGGTGTATAATTTCACTGAGGATGAAAGTGGTGTAGGCGTACTAGATTTGCCATATAACTTTAGCCCACGAGAGAAACGCTTTCGTTTTGCGACATAGGAAATTTTACCAGGTCACGATTTAAAATAAGCTTAGGCTATGGAAATGTATAGGATATTCTAGATAGATCTGACATACTTTTTATAGCATAACAGTTCATCAAGAACCAGAACACCCTCGCAATTTTTGTATTAATGAAACGAATTATTTTAAAATCGCACCTTATACTACTCGGGAATCTACAGGGTGTTTTTGAATGGAGTAGCATAAATGATACCAGTGAATCTACATTTCAAAAGAACACGATCTGCAAAAAATCGCCTTAGTAAAATGTTCACCCCTGAAGAGATATGGGCCATCAAAGTTTCCAAAAAAATTATGAAAATTGGCTGTAATTTGAAAACCGAACGAGGTACAAATAACAAATTTTTTACAGGTTGTTTACTAATACAGATGCGAGTTTTCAACTATTTTTCGAAAATTTTAACCCCTCGAAAGGGGTTGAAATAACCACCCCTCAAGCCATTTTTTGCCATAACTTTTATATTTCGTAAAAACTCGATATCCAAAAATACGCATTAGATAAACTGGTTCTTTTAGAAACTTTTACCTCTCTAGCAATTTTCCTTTAAAACTTTTCGTTTATTAATAAAAAAATAAAATGTATTACCATTCACCTCACACCGTATATGATTGCAATCAATCAAAGAAAAACTAAGTGTGCTGCTGTCATGCCAGTTGTCACAATTAACTCTTCTGTAAGTTGTCACTGTTATCAGCTAAATACTTTTTGGGTGTAAATTAACAAGAATTATGCCAAATTTTACTAATGATGAATATGTGGACATGCTACAAGTGTTTTTTTCTACGATCGTGCAAAATTTACTACTTATTGCACTACCTACTGTGCCAAAAGTTTAACTTTTTTTACAGTAGTACAAAAAAAATATTGATTACAAGTTTAATCTAAGCATATCCATAAGTACCTAACGTCTGACATTGACAATTTGCGCAATTAATTTCCAGTTGTCAGTTAAAATTTTAATATTATGTAAAATACTGTTAAATAAAATTTGAAATAAAAACAATCGTAGAAAAAATGTTGCGTGCAACATGTGCAAAAAGCATATTTGTTGCACTTAACATGATTGCAGCTCTCAACTTCGTCTCGAGCTGCAAACTTCATGCATCGTACAACAAATACACACTCTTTACAGTAGTTGCACAAATAACTGTTTGAATGTCGCAGAAACTTTTATTAAATAGAAGTACAATGAAAACGAAACTAAGAAATAATTTATTATCAAAAAGAGAAAAAACAAAAAACTTAGTTAAAGGACATTTTCAAAATAATTGCCATTTCTTTCTAAACACAACCTAACACGTTTATCAAAGTTGTTACGGACTCGAGCAAAAATTATGGGATTGTTGCGAATCTCATCAGCCGCCGCGAATATTCTTTCCTGTAGCTCTTCAACACTGTCAACTGGGGTCGCATAAACAATACTTTTTATATGTCCCCAAAAGAAAAAATCCATGGGCGTTAGATCGGGAGAACGTGCAGGCCAAGAGATAGGTGCCTCATTGCCGCGACCTATCCAACGATTCGGGTAATTTAAATTAAGCCACCGCCTAACTACTACAGTGCTGTGAGCAGGAGCCCCGTCATGCATGTACCACATGGCCTGACGTACATTTAATGGTACTTCCTCCAGAAGTGGTGGTAGATGCTCATTTAAGAACTGCAAATATTCAACAGCACCAAGTCGATGAGGTAAAACAAAAGGGCCGACAAGCACATTTCCTACAATTCCTGCCCAAATGTTTAAACTAAAATTATGTTGAAATGTTGTCATAGATACTTCGTGAGGATTTTCAGGAGCCCAGGAATGAAGATTGTGCATATTGGTTAAACCATGTCTTTGAAAAGTTGCTTCATCTGTGAAAAGTATCTTTGAGGCAAAATTCAAATTATTTCTTAGAATATTAAGATACGATTCGCAAAAAACAACTCGCTTATGCATGTCTGGTTCAAGTAGAGCTTGAACTGGCCGGTGGTGAAAAGGATATAATAAATTATCATGGACAATATTCCAAACAACACTATGGGACACATTTAAGTGCATTGCTGTTTTTCTCGTACTAGTCTGACGATTTTCGTCAAACTCTTCAAGTACTGCACCCTCAAAATAAATAGTACGAACAGTAGGTCTTCGGCCGGTACCCTCAATATGCGGCTGTATTTTTCCAGTTTCCCGAAGTCTTCGTTCTACCGCCGAAAAAGTTTGTCTGTGGGGAACTTGACGATTTGGATATCTCTCATTATACGCTCTTGTTGCCGCAGCACAGTTTTTGCGACATTCAAAATACACTTGTAGCATGTCCACATATTCATCATTAGTAAAATTTGGCATAATTCTTGTTAATTTACACCCAAAAAGTATTTAGCTGATAACAGTGACAACTTACAGAAGAGTTAATTGTGACAACTGGCATGACAGCAGCACACTTAGTTTTTCTTTGATTGATTGCAATCATATACGGTGTGAGGTGAATGGTAATACATTTTATTTTTTTATTAATAAACGAAAAGTTTTAAAGGAAAATTGCTAGAGAGGTAAAAGTTTCTAAAAGAACCAGTTTATCTAATGCGTATTTTTGGATATCGAGTTTTTACGAAATATAAAAGTTATGGCAAAAAATGGTTTGAGGGGTGGTTATTTCAACCCCTTTCGAGGGGTTAAAATTTTCGAAAAATAGTTGAAAACTCGCATCTGTACTAGTAAACAACCTGTAAAAAATTTGTTATTTGTACCTCGTTCGGTTTTCAAATTACAGCCAATTTTCATAATTTTTTTGGAAACTTTGATGGCCCATATCTCATCAGGGGTGAACATTTTACTAAGGCGATTTTTTGCAGATCGTGTTCTTTTGAAATGTAGATTCACTGGTATCATTATTGCTACTCCATTCAAAAACACCCTGTATTATTGAAACTCAGGACTTATTGAATAACCATCTACGGTTTTTTTGGAAGAAATACCATAAAATTCAATAAAAAGTATTGCATCGCAGCAACGAATTGCGATATTGCCAAGCCATAAGTCAAGAAAATTATTTAAGATATTAAAATTCTAGTTTTTTCCTTGTACTTTCTTTAACATCCAAGAACAGCCACTCTCATAATCTGTAATCACAGGATAAAGTGACGCTTTCAATGTCATACTAACTACTAGGTATTTTTTTTATTTTTGTCTTAACACATTTAATACTTTTAATAGGTGGATAAACTGATTGGATAAAACTGAATCAATTGAGAACGAACAGAATCGGCATGAATTTACAGACAGAAGGCCTGAGAATTTATCAAGGAAGGGTCTGGCGACGTGCATTGCATTTAAATCTGATTCTGCGTCGCAGTATTTCAGTCATGCACTTATACTATATACGAGTATACCGAACCTACACCTTCCAAGTGCTCTTTTAAAAAGGAAAAATCTCCCTTCACTTTTCAATGCAAAATGCGTATATTCTTTTATGCATCTCCAACAATACGTAGGGGAGTAATGTAGGTCAGGCAAGTGAGTTCAATTTTTTTTGCCTCAGTCCGTGAATAATTTTAATGAAAATGAGGCGAGGGGCCCAGAACCGGACTTCAAAATTGCATTAAAAAACGAAAACAATAATAAATTTGAAAAGTATTCGGCGAAAAATAAGATTTTGATTGATAACTATCTAAATAACAAGGATAAAAACAAAATTACTCGATCTCTGTTTAATTTCTTCTATTACCTGTACGAGGTCTGTTAAAAAAATAACGGAACTTTATTTTTTTAAAGTTTATTATTAATTTTGTACATTGGTCCTTGTCTCCTCCCCTATTCATACACCTTTTCCAGAGGTGTTTCCATGTCGTGAAGCAGTCCTGGATAGCTTCATTTGAAATAGCCTTTAAAGTCTGTGAATTTGCTTTGATGTCGTCAATAGTCTGAACAAGGCGTACACCGATTTTAATTTCGGAAATAAGAAAAAATCGCAAGGGGCCAAGTCTGGCGAGTAAGGAGGGCAAGGGAGCATGTCAACATGAGTTGTCTCGACACAACTGTGGACTATTTTTTCATGTAACTTAAACAAGTTGCACTCAAATATCAATATCACGAAAACTAAATGAGATATCAACAATCTAAGAACATGTGGTTACACATTAGGTTATGCACAACGCAATGCTGCCAACTGCATATCACTAAACATCTCCATTAGCGTCTAATTCAAAAAGGTCGGTTACTTTCTAAACAGACCTCGTATAATAAATCTAGAAAATAAGGTCCTCGAAAATCGAGAAAATGCAACTTTTTTATTATAGATTAATTCCGTATAAACGCCACACTCTGTATTATCCGTTCCGTAGGCGAGTCCAGACCTGTCTGTCACTTTTAACGTTCGTGTTTTTCGTTTCTTCCGAGCAAAACTCGTACACAGGTGCGTCAATCCGTGGCATATTATAAATCTGAAAATTTTATTAGCAACTGCAACGTCTGGATATGGACAACAAATCATTAAATCTGTTGTTGCTTTTAATGGTATGACAGTAGTAATGATCGTGGTGTTGTATTGCAGTCTGTAATCAGAAACGATTTCTGATTGAGCCGAGAGTTACTGCTGTTTTATTACGTTTTGATATTTGATATTTTAAATTAGTTCGTTGCCTACCGTAACGTCCTTCGCATACAAAAATGTAAACATTGAATTCTTTACAGTGCACACACGTAATTTACTTTAATGTTATTCAACGTGATGTTTTAATAATTATTTTTGTAGCAGTATCTTAAATCCTTAACGATTTAAGTTC